AAACCCTCAGTATTTTAAAGGCGTTAAATGGAGCACCTCATCCAGCAAGTATCTAGGGGCCCCGCTACAATACATGCGAACTAATGAAGAGTATTGTGCTTGCGTTGCTGGGGATCTAAGAAAACGGGCCACTAAATGGTGCGGTCGAGATTTGTTTATTTTTACTAGAGCAACTGTATGCAATGTATTCCTTTTTACCAAGCTGTGGTATGTACAGCAGGTCATGCATTGTGCTCGTACCGGTATACAAAAAGTGCATAGTGTGTTTGACGTTTTTATATATAAAAGTACAGTTGAATCAATAAGACGAGACAACCTTTTTCTTCGAGATTCTAAGTGAGTTCTTGGTCTTTCACATCTGTTTGTCGAACAAGTTGTTGCGCGTTTCTTTTTCCTGCGAAATCAAAGGCACCCCTTTTTACAAGTCATAGTTCAGACTATACTTCGTTTCAGCTTCGGTCCGAGCGCGGCCGATGTTATGAGCCGAACGGCCAATCAAACAGCGAAAGAGGCACAACGTCATGGCGTGCTCTCTGCAGTTGATAGGACCAGCTGGTATTCGCCGTCTCTCTGTGCGTGCTCCTCCGCCGGCTAGTCTTATCAAGGGCAGAGAGCACGCCATGAGGCTGCGCTTTTTGCAGTGTTTGATTGGCCCTTGGGCTCATAACATCGGCCGCGCTCGGACCGAAGCTGGAACCCCATTTACCGTCTCGTCTCTTCCGCTAGTGGCCCCACCCGCTAGAATGGTTGGGTTTGTGAAGGAAGGAGTGACCGCGTATGAATTTTGATGGTGCGTTACTCGCGGGAGTACTGGTTTACCGTCTCCAGAATAAAGCTGACCAGAGATCTGATGGATAGCCTCTTTCCTGCTCCATTGTATAAGTATTTGTTCACTGACATGCCTGGAGGCGATGTTCTGGTCCGCCTGAAAAAAATGTGTATCCCCCCAGCCGCAAAAATCGTTCTTTTTCTGGATGCACAGTGACACGTTGCCTGTAAAAGTGTGGTTAGCCGGGAGGGTAAACAGCCGGAAACAATTCAGAGCATGTGTACATTAATTTCTGGGGTGCTGTTATATTCTGGGACGTACTGAAGCGCACTATAAAAAAGACATAGAAATAACAAGATATACTATCCGTTTTCATCCTATTGAGAAAAATGAAAGTGTCCCACTTGATATGAATATGGTGCTTGGTTTGTTTTCTTTATAGAAATCTCGTATGGATGTAAGAAACGCAGCGGCCTAACCAAAGTCAGCGCCGCAATACTTCACTGAGCTCGTTTGCCAAGTGTTCAGCGTTTTTGAATTTACCGACAATACGCCAGACTGGGCAGACCTGTTGCATGACCTGTTGTGTATAAAGGAATTTTAATTCAGTATCTGCCCACAAAATTTGGGTAATCTGATTTTATGCAATGAATAAAAAAAAAAAAAGTGTGCGTGGCCGAGTGGTTACTGCGCTTGACTCTCGTGCGAAAGCCCAGGGTTTGATTCCTGGGAGCGACGTCTCTTTTATTTATTCTTTCAATTTACATTTCTGGTAAATTTAAAAACCCTGTTGCTTGTTCCAGGTTCGAATGTTCTACACGCCGAACCTTCTACGCCGATTGTTCCAGAAGCCCACGCGTGCACATAAAGGGCTCCGCGTGGCGAGCCGCGGTCAGTCTCGCCCCAGCGCGTGATCCTGCTATTACGCCGACTTCGACGCCCGCGACGCTCTGTTGTTTTCTTCTGTTCCCCATTTGTTTTGGGCACAAGTTCGCCTCATTAAACGTTTCAGTTTCCTCAGTTATCATCACCTCATCAATTGTCATTCGTGACATTTTGGTGGAGGTACGGGATAACGCATGGGTCCGTTCAGCGCACCCCTCCGAGGGCCCGCAATGGAAGTCCGACCCCAAGCCCCCGAGGACCCAACGAAGAGAGGACCGGGACCCAATCAAGTCGCTGCAACCAACGCCTACCCCCGGAATTTGGACTCTTACCACTCAAGACCGAGCAGTCAATGAGTCCGACGATGGACAACCAGTCGTCGCAGACCTCGACCGCTCCATCCGTCGTCTTCATGCCTGTCGCCTCACGCAACCCGACGCCATTCCATGGTGAGGCCCACGAGGATGTAGAGGACTGGCTTCAACATTATGAAAGCATAGCCCGTCATAACGGATGGACTACGGAACAGCGCCTACAAAATCTCTACTTCTCCCTGGAGAAAACTGCAAGATACTGGTACAAGAACTATGATGATTCGCTGACGTCGTGGGGTCGTGGGACACCTGGGTCACCGAGCTGAAGCGGACATTCATGAATCAGCATCGCAGGCAGCGGGCCAAATATCTTCTATCGGCGAGGTTTCAAGCACCAAACGAAAGCGTCACGAGCTTTGTGGAAGATGTTCGGCGGCTGAGTACCCGTGCAGATTCTCAAGCCACCGAAGAGAAAATACTGCGCGTCCTCATGCGGGGTGTGAGGGAGAACATCTTCGGCGGTCTTGTCCGCAGCCCTCCGACAACAGTCGAAGGTTTCGTCACCGAGGCAACGAACATCGAACGTGCCTTTCAATCACGGGCCTATTACTACCAGCGACTTCCCGGCGTCGCTGCCCTCTCGCCTTCTAGCTGCGTCAGCCAGAATCTCCGCAAGATAATCCGGGACGTCGTGCGGGAGGAAATCAGGAGGCTTCTACCTGGCTACCGCAAGCCGGCTTTGCCCTCAATCGCCGAGATTGTCCGGGAAGAAGTTTAGCAGGCGCTGCAGCCAGAAGTTCTCGTCAGCGCCGCTCCCGAACCATTGACGTTGAGCTACGCCGCAGCTACCCGACAACCACCGCCCCCTGCTCACCCGTATACGGCGCCGCCCCGACGTGAACCTCCAGCGCGGCAGTATTCCCGACGCCAGGAAGATCGGGCGCACGTCCGCCAACAACAAGCTGCGCCACGAAAGACCGAGGTGTGGAGGACGGCCGACCGACGCCCGCTTTTCACCCACTGCGGGGAAGCCGACCACATCTATCGCAGCTGCCCCTACCGTCGACTTGGGCTGCGTGGTTTCCACGCAGCCCAAGTCGACGGCTGCTTTGAAGGTTTCCAGGACCATCAAAGCAGACGAACCTGAACACCGTGAGGCTGGACATTGGGAAGTTCGGGCTGCCCGAATAATGCGACTTTCAGGGCCGAAACAGGTCATTTCAAGAACGCGTGAAGCCACACTTCACCGCCATTTGAAGTGCGTCGCTTCGCTTCCATCCGTCTTTTTTGCCGGTGGGAAAGCTTCCCCGAAAGTAGAATGGAAGACAAAAAATGTGCCTCGTAGCCTTAGTTTGGAAAGTCACCCATGGCATGAGTAGGGGGGGGGGGGGGGGAGAGTAAAAAGGAGTAAAAAAAAATCTACCAAGGTCTGCTTATGTCCTTCACTGAGGTCGCTCACCACGTGGGTCCGGGCATTGCGCACTCATTGGCAGTCTGTCAATCGTTCAAGGCCTCCGCTGCTCTTCGAGTCCTGAAAGCGGGAAAGGGAAGGATACGAGGGCGTGGAAAAACAAATAGACAGGTGACAGGCCTGTCTATCTGTCAGGACAGGTCGTAAAATCTCACGAGCACCGACGTCAAAAAAAGCAGAGGAGGCGAGGAGGAAGGCCGTCACGTTTGCCTGGTGCATGTTCGAACTGAAGACGGACTGCCGGACTTCCAACTTTCGCTTCATATGACGGAAAAGTGTCGCCTCACGCGTTCCGAAGTATCCTGTGTGGTCTCTTTATGACGACGGGTTGAGGTAGATATCGTAGACAGAGTACAGATGAGGCATGGGAGCGGAATCACGAACGGAAACGAAAATGGCCTGAAAATCCTCCGAATCGTGCTCAAAAGGCGGGGCAGAAATGACAACGTCACAATGACAGTGAATTACGCAAGAGCCGAGCTGCTGCCGCCATGACACACGTTGCGCAGGATTGTAAACACCCTCGACATTTTTGCAGTGTTTTACAGCGGAGCTGTTAAGGGCTAGATTCCCCAGGATCGTGTCCGGTATGTCAACACAAACCTACCTGGACAGCTACCGCCATCTATAAGCGACGGCGGCAAGCACACAACCAGTATGGCTTTCGCCGTCGATGGCGGCAACCTTTTCAGCTATAATAGAACAATGGATAGTTGAGCGCGTTGGTGGGAATTCATCGTAGGAAACTGCGCGAAAAACAGACGACGACGAAAAAGAAGCACACAGTGTATCGAGTACAGCTCCGCTGGTCTTCCTTCTTCACGAGAGTGGAAAGGCTGAACGATTTATTCTCAAGGATTTGAAATAAAAACACTGTAACTGATCCTAATTTTCTTCTACGCAACTGAAAAATATTCCTAGATATTTATTATATTTGATTTTTTTAAGGTTTGCTTGTTTAATGAAGCACAGGAAAAAATCCATCCACTTTTTTCATGGAAATGCATTACACCTTAAGTAAAGTTTATGCTGGTTGTTGTATGTTTCAATTGGAAACCGCGCGCTAGCGCCAGATGAACCTCTAGCATACACATGCTTGAGCACACCAACCTCTAACAATCGATAGCACAAGACTATTGCATTACTTTTTATGATTACGATTGCACCCAAATTACTTGTTGGATCTTTTTAATATTTATTTGTTCTTTCTTCAGGAAGCAATAAAAATAATAAATTTATATTTTATCTTGTTTACTATTTTTGGAGGAAAAAAAAGTGTTACTTTCCAGAAAAATAAAAGGGGTTGTAAATACCTAGTCATAAAAACTTAGGCATTTTGAAGAAAATACAATTCCGAACAAAGCATAAAATGCGTACTACATCAGCATATATTTTTGCGGCAGTACATTAAAGGGAAGATGGCGTAAACCTCGGAAAACGAACGACAAGTCCTACATGTTCAAAAGGGCACGGGAAAAAAAAAAAGGAAACTGAGTCGCGTGAAAATAAACTAATTTTATTCAACTTCCACGTTTTCAAAGCGGTGGCCCCTGTGCATTTTTTAAGTTAATCTTGGCTTTTTATTGTTGATATTTTCATTGCAGAACTTGCAAATGCACTTCCCGTCCTTGCATTTCTGCGTAAAACAATGCTTGTATTTGTGTGCGATTTTATCATATGTGCAGCCCTACATTGCACAAAATACTATTTAACATTTATGCAAATATTCTCAATGGCACCGCGCCAGAAATGAACACTTTATTATATATTTATCGACATGCCAATGACGTTCCGGATTGCAATGTAACCTTCAGTCGAGATTTAAACTTTCACTACACTAATCTCTTAGAACGTAATCATAACGCCAGTGAAACTCGACACAATTCTAAATCGCTGCACAATGTTAAGAACATATTTAGGTCCATCCTTTTACGTTTTAGTGAAAAACAACTCACCGCCCCAAAAGCGCATGGCATTCTGTCTGGCAGAGCCAGACGGAATGCCATGCGATGCGAGCAGACCGTGTTCATGCGATCATGCATGAACACCGTCTGTGTTAATAAAGGGTGGCGATCCGTCGGGTTGATTCTGGCAGAGCCAGAATCAACTGACGATCGCTACCCTTTAATAAATTAATCAACTGTAAATCCGTTAGTTGACTTGTCTTCAGTCATATTGCATTAAAAATGCTAAAACTACAATTTGTTTTACTAATGTTACTATGTCATATATGGCATATTGCAGTCTAATTTTAAAGTTCACGTTGTGACGCTTTCAGAAATGTGAACAGGAGAAGCCTTTTAAAGTGAAATAACTTTTAAGTTATTGTTTGAACAGTATAATCACCCTCAATGACAATTACAAGCATTCTGAAGTGATTTACCATGCCAGCTTGTGTCCTAAAAATAAATAACGTCAAACAAATTAAAGCAGTTTTTTTAAGTACTTATCGTTGTTGTTTCCTTTAGTAAAAAATTTCATTTAAATTGCAGAAACAAAATATCGCAGTTAAAGCATTACTTGAATATTCTGAAGGCTAATCGATGACCTGCCCAGTCCCGATATGCGTTAGGTTGGGGCGAAGGGTTATCGGAAACTCTTGGGAGAGTCTGTAGCCCTCATCAATAAAATAGTGTTGCTGCGGCCGATGCTGTCTGTGTGGTGGTATAGGTAGTTCCTTGGAGTTTCAGAGGCTACGACGTTTGAATCGAATAATAATTAGCCAGAAATTCATAACATTATCCTCCTGAAATCGGCGACCCTATCTGTAAAAATTGGAGCGGGCAAACCCTCACCACCGAGAAGAGCATCTCATAACACGCACGCTGCTGCGTTGCTTGGTTGCACTCGTTTATTCCACTCGCATCAAATATATTAGAACAGTTTGTTCCACTTGTTTCAGTTGTCCTGCCAACGAACAGTTAGCGGAGCGTAAACAGGAGAGGCACTTTCCTCTTCGCAAAGATTAGACTTGTTCCGAATCCGAAAAAACTTATCGACCCCATGTCAGAGCAAAGGGAAACATTGGCTGCAGCGGAAACTTTCTACTCGTTGAAGCTAGCAATATCACAGTAATTTTTAATTCAACACTAACATTTCTAAATGCGAAATATTTATATGACTGTAAAAGCTAAAATTAACGAAAAAAAAAAATGCATTGATCCTGCGATTCACAACCCACACCAGCATTGTGTAAGTATATATCTGGGTTGAAATTCCTTGTTTTGTTGTATTTCCGCGCTGGTTTACAGATATATCTATTTTTAAATAGACAAATATTTAACCTAAATAGTGTTGTTCACCCGAAAACAGGCACCCGTCGTGGTGATCCACGCTTGTCAACGTCTGTTTAGAGCAGACGACGCATCCACAGAAGCGATTCTGTAAGAATACACAGAAAGAATAAAACACGTGAAGGACGAACACAGACACACACAGCTCTTTCAATGGGCAACAAACATTTATGAGATACCCATAGCGCTACAACCGTGAACTTCAAAGAATTGAAAAAAAGAAAACTAGAATAAAAATAAAATCAAACGAAAATAAAGAAAACGAAAAGAAAAAAGCGGTTCTATAAATTTAAGCCGCACGCTGGTAACAGAATTCGATCTTCACTGAAGCACGGAACAGTACCACACCATTTTCCACTAAACCGTTTTTCCTTCGATACCATGCGACAAACAAAACACTAGACTACACCGCCTCGCGCGTGAACGTGGAGAGCCTATGGGGCAGCCATACCTCTATCCCCGCTTTGATGATGATGATAGCGCGGCAGCTGCGCCGCCTCTAGGTCGATCTCGAGGCCAATAAGCATTCTAAAAAACAATTAACATATACACTTACAAGTGACCACGCGGTCAAATCCACAATTCAATGAATGTCCTTATAATCAAGGTCAACGGGAGAGGGTTCGGGACCTACATCTGGGTAAACTCAGGAACACGGCGACTGCAGCGCTTTGTATCCCAACCCGGGCAAAGCTTCCCAAATATTAAGAGGGAATAGTACCTCCAAACGCCATAGAGAATACTAACCATGTTGAATTAACCTGAGACTGGGGTAGAGAAGAAACATCAAAACATAGAAGGGACAAAAAAATAGACAGGAGACGTCGTCCTGTCTATTTTCTGTCCCTTCTACGTTTTGATGTTTCTTCTCTACCCAGTCTCAAGTTAATTCAACGTGGTTAATATTCACCAGCTCGCCTGCACCCTTACGATTTTTCTATAGAGGATACATTTAGATTTTTTTTTACATTTTCGAAAAATTCTTAGATCAGAACCGCTTTTTGTATTTGCTTGAAAATTTCACGATGAAGATATTAATACTGTATTGGTGCATTGCTGCCAATCATATCTCTCAATATTTAATGTATATATATATATATATTATTCGTGAAATTGATTGAAAACGGTTGTTTTGACACTTTTGGGTTTAACGACGTTTTACATAATCTTCTAATTAAAGAAAAATAATTTTGTTTGCAGAATTTTCTATAAAGTATAGTATGGAATCGATTGTTATAAAAAGAATTAGTGTAGGCTAATCCGTTTCGGAACTACAGTGATATTTCCGGAAGCAAGTTTTCAACCATTCTGATGTTAGCCTGAGACTGAGGCAGGAAAAGAGGTATTAGAGACGTATCCTCGACTGTTCCTTTTTCTTCTACTTTGGAACTTCCTCTTTTCCTGCCTCAGTCTCAGGCTAACATCAGAATGGTTAATTTCCACCAGCTCGCCTGCGCACTTACTACAATATCAAGTTTTCAACTATTTTTTTATGTGTTTGGCATTTTGTTCTGCAGATGGCGGTCTCCGGCCGCAAGGGTTAATAAGGTTTAGAGATCAAGTATAGTGCCGCCGGGTAGCATGGTGCACTTTCTTCTTTTCTTTTTTTTAGGATCCATACGCGCTTTTTTTTTTATTTTTCTTTTATTTTTTTACGCGCGAGCAAGGGCGGGCGGGTGTTAGTTAAACCCAGCTGCTCTTCGCGTTTAATGCGTTCGAATTTGTGTCGCTCGGAAGTGTTGCGTTCGCCTCTGGCGCCATGGGTCGAAAGCAGGCTCCCTATGGCAAGCGAAAGCTTCTAAACTCCCACTTTAAGAATGTGGGACCGTGACCCGGACAGTGCTGGGATTCTCGATAGCGAGCCTATTGTGGTTACCGTGAGCGCTGATGCACATAGAGGAGGCTATGGCTGATGGCAAAGATCGTGTGGGACCGGACGCTACTGGGCTGCAGTGCGCCTGCGGACTCGGCGGGCTTGTAACGGCGCTCGTACGAAAAGTGGACCAACTCGTCAGTGCGGTTCAATTCCTTTGAGATGACAACTCTGCCATATGTGACCTTCAAGCTGACGCTTGCCGCGCCTGACGCCATCGATTTCAGTGAAACTGATGAAAGTAGATGCACCTACGTCAGAGTGGCGCGAAGCTCCGCTGGGCACCGCCAAAACGCCGGTCCTCCCACCCCCGCCGCGCCGAGTTCGAGTGAAGTCGAATAAGCGGAAGTACTGGATCGACCGGGCGATGGGCACAAGGTCGTCAATTACCGCAAGCGTCATCCGCCGCCAGGAATGGGTGCCCGCAAGAACGCACCTGTGTCTTCTGTGCCTCGACCACCTGCAAGACGTGCCCTGTTCGTCTCGAGGCTACACCCGTCTACTACATGTGAAGAGCTAAGTGAACTTGTGTCGTCCACTTTGGCGCTGGGCCCTTTCACTTCCAAGAAGCTCCGTAGCAAATATGACACGTATGCTTCGTTTCATATAAGCACCACCGTTAATAACTTGTGGGCACCCTGGCGGCTCCCAACCCAAGTTGCCCGACTGCGAGGCTCAAGCCGAACTTTTCCCGCGTGGCGGCGACGTCACGCCAGCCACGCGCACATCGGATGCGCCGCCTTGATAAGGCAGATCAGAGGCGGCGCACAAAGTCGCTGCCTGGACTCCAGCAGCGCCGGTAGCAATGTTAATCGTCTTGTCCATGTCCAATTAAATGTAGTTTCTTGTTGTTGAAACCGTTGGCTCCGTGTTATTCCTCCGGGTCGGGTATGCAGCAAGGCAAACCGACCACAATGGCGCCCAACCGTGGTATGCTACCCACTCGCAGGAATTTCACGGGGCTTGGTTTCTTCTTTCGGTAAGCCTTTTTCATATTCCGCGTGTTTCCTATCGTTGTTTCGTGCTTCCGTCACGTCCACGTTTGTTGTATTGGCGTGTTTCTGACTGTGTTTTTGTGACCACGGCAATCGTTTTGCGCGCTTGTGTTGGGTTTTTGGGGGCGTTTCTTTTTTTGTGCTTGCAGGAATGCTTGCAGGACGCAGCGCCCTGATGAAAGTCTGGTCCGGTACGTTCGGGTCATGCACGAGCTTTTCAAGAGGGCGGACCCGAAGTTACCGGAATCGGACAGAGTAGCTCGGGTCAGAAGACTGTGTCACCCCAGGTACCATGGCTACCTGATCAACCGCACCTTTGAGACCCTTGAAGAGCTAGCCCGGGGCGCCCGCCTCATCGAGGAAGCTCTTCATGCCGAGCGGAACTACGTGCCGCCGCCACCAGCCAAGTACGCGCTCGAGCCGGCATGCGCATGGCGGGGCCCCGAGGCCTCCACGCAAGTGGACTGTCCGAACG